TAATGTTTTGATTACAAATATAAATATCAGAGAATGATTCTACTGTTTTCTATACCAGACGGATTATTTCGATTACTTTTTGCTTTGCCGGCATTCAATTTCATCTAAGATAGGACAGCAGAAATTCGTTTGAACAAATCTGTAAAAACTGCAATTCTCAGACTGGCTCGGAATATTCAGTACTAGGTGATTTTACAATTGGCATGTTCATGAAATGTGACAGTGCTCCAAGTCTCATTATGAACTCTGCAAAGTGATTGAGCCTCAGGCCAACTGCCCATGCTTCAGTGTAAACATGAGGTAAACCACATCGTCATTTTACCCGTGAGGTAAGTGTCAGCCTGAGCTCTATAGTGAGCCTCAGCCGAAAGCACAGGCTAGCCTTAGCTTAAGGTTTGCCTACGATCCATTCCCTTTGATAGGCAAGTTAACTGCAAGATCATCCGGTAACAGACCTTTTAGGCCCGGACAAGGGTGACGATAACCATATTTGTCGATTCGGTGTTTGTTTATTGATCACATAGATGCCTTTGCCTTGTCCCACATTCGCCGTGATCACACCCATCGCATAGTTTATATCGAATTCATCATCACAGTTCAACCATTCTGGAAACGTATCCAAATAATCACTCAGATTGTCCAACGATTGATCCGCTTTTCGTTCGTAATCTGCTTCCGAGATCGCAGTGGATGCTGGCGGTACGCAACTGGTGCTATTGTTTGATAATAAGGATGTTGTAGTGATAAAATTTGTGCTTGTCATACAACCTGCAAAGTGCACTGCATAATATCGCTTGAATTGATCGATTCTCGTGTTTAATCTGACTACGATTATGATTAACACTGTCGTAGATATGTTAGTAAAATATGTGGGCAGTTCAGCGAGGAACAAGGATACTGAAATGTTCAAATTGGCCCCAAGAAATTTTTTCGCCCCAAGTTTGATCAATGAAAACATCTCTTTGAGAAGCTGAATTTATGACTAACTATAGGCTAATTTTTGCATAAAATATATTTTTTTAAA